TTGCTTTCTAATTTTAACTCCTTTCATTTTGCTTCAATGTAAGATATACAGCAATAACTCTGTAAATAAGATAAAAGTGACATCAAATTCAATTTTTTTCCATCAGGCACCAATTTCACAGAAAACAAAAATTCAGTTTTCAACACAACTCCGCCATCTAGAGGTTACAAAGGTTTTTTTTACTTTCCATTTTAAGATTTTTTTCCTGTAGAACACAAAATTTTTTTGAAGAATATTGCTTACTGGCAGGCATTGACATCCATAGAAGGCAAAATATATAAATAACAAGTACTATGGAAGTTAGTGGTCACCAGTTTACATTCTTTAAAAAAATCTTTTGCGTTCAGCAGGTTTTGAACAAGTGGAAGGTGAGGAAAATAGTGACAGAATTAACATTTTGAAAAAAACTTGAATGTTGTAAATTCTGTTGCTTTTGCAGTACTAGCGTAAAATGACCTAAAATGTGTTTACCAGCCTTGGGGCAGAACACCTAAGCTGACGTGTACAGCAAATGCACTTTCATTTAAAAAGAAAGAATTTAAACAATTCAGGAACTAGGGTGTAGTTGCATGGTGCAATGGTGCATGAGCTTTTGTAACTGCATATACTGACTGTTTATAATATAATTACATTTACAGATATGTCCTCCTTGCAATCAAATCAGGTTTCATCAGTGAGACATCACTGTAAGTATATTTTGCACACCCCTGATAACTGACAAAATACAAAGCATTTGGTGGGATCAGGCAAAAGCTTTTAGTTTACTTTTTTCTCTTTGGTTAAGGTAGAGTATGATAAATTGCAGAAATGTAGAGAGAAAAGGTTTACAATTGATTCACCCATCCACAAATGTTTTAGTGCGATTAGTGACAAACATCTAAGGAGCCCAAATTGGCAAAAAAAAAAAAAAAGAGTTTTCCCCACCCTGACTTAATTCTGGTCCATTTGGACATAAACTGGAATTATGTGTGTAATTATAGTTATACTTTATGAACACTAATTACTATATAATACTAAATAAGCAGCGCTTTCATTCTGACTGTCATGGAGAAAACAAATTCATGCAAAATCGATCTATTGTTTATTGTTTTGTTCCCATGGTTCAGTCTTATCAAGGGAAAGGGTAAGATTAAATAAAGTTTATTTTGCAATTCCATAACGCAAATTCCTTTGACAACTACAAATACAAAGCATTTTCTCTTTGTTTAAAGTAGAGTATGACAAAATGCAGAAATGTAGAGATAAAATAAATCAAATGCAAATCAACTTGATCACCATTTTACTGTCAAAGTATAGCTGCATGAATGTTAATACAAATCACATGCACAATGTTTCTTACCTGACTTTGAGAAATTCCATTCAAAACATGTAAAATAATAGTTTATAATATCCTTATTTTGTTTTTTGATCAAGTAATGGAACCACAGACTGCAAAAGTAAAAGCAAAGTTCTCTCTGCTTAAGCTTGTAAACACTTCCCTAAATATCCTGTTTTGCAAGCCACTTCTAAAAAAAAAAAAAAAAGGTTTAAAAATGAAAAGGTTTAGATTCAATGCAAAAATTCAGTCGAGAAAGTTAGATAGTAAGTAGATCAAACTAGCAATCCTGAACCACAACAAACAAAACCGTCTGCACTAAACTCTATAATCTGACACTTTGAAAAAAAAATGTAAACAGGAAATAGATTCCATGTGAATAAGGATGGGGGAGGGAATACATTACAACAAGTGAGAAGTAAGAAAACTGTATTGCAAATTGTAAACTTGAGCTGAGCTTGAGGGTAGCAAACTATTGTATGAATCATCAATACAGCATATTATTTCCTATTATTTTATATCAAATATAATTATTTTAGCATGGGACCATTCAAACTTTTCTATATTATAGTGAACATCATGCATTTCTGTTAAACAGCATTTATGTCAATGCATGTGTCATGACCTCTATATGTTGTTTGTTGTATAAATGTAAGAGTTGACTGTCCCTTATCTGTAGACTGCACAGCTGCTGGTTTTGTACTGGCCCTTGTTGCTATGGCGTTCCTCATCTGCAGTGCCGACAGGAGGTATTTATTACATTTTGCATGAATACCATTATGCCCAAATACTAACAATTTACAGTTATGAAATATGTTTATTTTAAAAATGCATAAAACCCTGGTTTAATCACTGCTAATTTTTTGCTCCTACTAGAGCCTCAGCTGATGAACAAAAGCAGCCTGGTTAAGAAGTAGGTCTTAATTTGCACGAGAAGCCATGTTGTCATGGCGTGGAGTCATGATAACAAGTTAAACTATCATCTGAAATGTTTATATTATATTATATTATATTATATTATATTATATTATATTATATTATATTATATTATATTATATTATATTATATTATATTATGGGCGATGCAGGGGCGCAGTAGTTAGTGCTGTCGCATCACAGCAAGTAGGTCGGTGGTTCAAGCCTCAGCTGGGTCAGTTGGCGTTTCTGTGTGGAGTTTGCATGTTCTCCCTGCGTTTGCGTGGGTTTCCTCCGGGTGCTCCAGTTTCCCCCACAGTCCAAAGACGTGGTACAGGTCAATTGGGTCAGCTAAATTGTCCGTAGTGTGTAAATGAGTGTGTATGGATGTTTCCCAGAGATGGGTTGCAGCTGGAAGGGCATCCGCTGCGTAAAACGTCCTGGATAAGTTGGCGGTTCATTCCGGATTAATAAAGGAACTAAGCCGAAAAGAAATGAATTAATGAATATCATTTATATTATATTATTATTATATTTTATCATATTATGGCGACACTGTGGCTCAGTGGGTAGCATTGTCGCCTCAAAACAATTTCAACTGAAAAAAACAACACTACCAGTTTTAAATCCTTACTGATTAGAGAAACACCAGTTTTTAAGACAAAGGCAGTGATACAAACAGTAAAACATCAAAGTGCCATTTTAATACATACAGTATAATCATTTTATTGCAGTATATTATATTATATTATATTATATTATATTATATTATATTATATTATATTATATTATATTATATTATATTATATTTTCTCATTTCCTTCCAGAATGAGAAGGGTATAAACGGAGTTCGGAGCCAGCTCCAAGTGGGTGGGCCTTGGAGCTCCAAGTGGGCTGTGCAAACCTTATTTAGTCGTATTTAGAGTTTAATATTTTGTTTTATGAACGTCTACACCTAAACCCAACCCTAAACCCAACCTCACAGTAACCTGATAAACCCAACCTACTTGTGGTTTAAGTCTCTCCCACTTGGAGGTCACCCAACCTACATGCGGTGTAATCCCTCCCACTTACAGGTCTCCAGGCTGCAGCGATACCTACTTGGAATAGAAAAGCATGTTTTTCAAGGTTGCCACAAGAGGCCCCTGTTGTTTTGAATTTTGCCCTACCAATTTCTATTCCTCACTGACTAGAGTAACAACAATTTGAGTGAGACACAGACATTGATACAAACAGTAAAACGTCACAGTGCCATTTTAATACGAACAGTATAATCATTATTATATTATATTATATTATATTATATTATATTATATTATATTATATTTTATTATATTATATTATATTATATCATTCATTCATTTTCTTGTCGGCTTAGTCCCTTTATTAATCCGGGGTCGCCACAGCAGAATGAACCGCCAAGTTATCCAGCAAGTTTTTACGCAGCGGATGCCCTTCCAGCCGCAATCCATCTCTGGGAAACATCCACACACACACACATTCACATACACACTCATACACTATGGACAATTTAGCCTACCCAATTGACCTGTACCACATGTCTTTGGACTGTGGGGGAAACCGGAGCACCCAGAGGAAACCCACGCAAAGGCAGGGAAAACATGCAAACTCCACACAGAAACACCAACTGAGCCGAGTTTCGAACTGGCGACCTTCTTGCTGTAAGGCAAAAGCACTACCTACTGCGCCACTGCCTCACCCTATATTATATTATATTATATTATATTATATTATATTATATTATATTACATTATATTATATTATAGATTTCTTCAAGTATTAATTTATTTCAAATAATTACTATTATATTTAATTTGCTGTAATACACGATTTATAAATGTGCATTTCCTGTCAGAATGGCTAAAGCATTTTTTCAAGGTTGCCACAAGAGAACACTAATGTTTTGGATTTTGCCCTCAAGTGTTGCTTATCTTGCTTTGTTTTTCATGGAATTTTATGTGTTGTATGTTTCCCAATGTAGTTCTGTACGTTCTTTTATGACTTTTCTTAAATTGTCATTAAACTTTGCAATGTTGTTACATCAAGTGTCTGAGTCGTTAATGTTAACCTACAGCTAAGTCTGGACTAATGGTAGCGTTTGCATTCGCACACACGTGTGTGTTTTTTTTAACGATTTTAGTATTGAAACTTAGGTAAAAAGCTATAACAACTCGACTGGGCAAGTAAAGTTAAGGGCTGACATACCAACGACAAAAATATAATAATAATAATAATAATAAATAAATAAATAACGTTGCCTATGTAGTCCGGATAACGATTTATAATTGGTTGAGTGGATTAGCAAAAAAAATATTGCGTTTTAAATAAAAATAAAATCACTTAAGTTAACTTACCAGTGGACAGCAGCCTTCCACGTCGTATGTGTGAGCGAGTGAGTACGTTGTATCAACTTAAAGTCAAATGACATAATGACTAATGTTAATCTTGTTTAGCATAGTCACAGCTGCGTTTGGTCCCATGATGTTGCCACTTGGAATAAATTGCATAATTTATTTTCTTCTGAGACTGTAGAGTGAGTCACTTATGCTCTTTCTATGCACTTTATAACCTAAACGAATATTGTAAACAAGTTTAACTATTAAACAATTTAGTCCAAATTTTAATAATTGTAGAATCATAAATCACAAGAAAAAAATAATACCTTACATTAAAAAGATAATATATAAGATAAATATACAGCAGGGTTTGAGCAAAACGTAACTTACAGGAAGTGTTTGTTGCTTGGCAACAGAACGCAGGCGCACGTCAACGTGTTTGGGCCACTGGTTTGGGCAGCTTCATCTTCATCGCGTCTTCATGATGGCAGACAGAAACTGTCTTGAAAAGCTTGATTTCGGTGCCTTAAGTCTCGAGCAACAGGAGAAGCTGCGACAGTTCAAGGTATTAAGTAGGAGTTAAGGAGTTAAATTTTCAACCCAAAATTGTTTGTTTTCACATGTCTTCTTTCAGATCAAGACACGAATTGCCAATGAAAAATATTTGAGATCTCACCCAGAGGTGGAAATGTTACTGAGTGACTTTTTAAGGTAAATGAATGTTTTATGTGCATCAGGATTATACAGCTCATTTTTTTATCGTTGCATCCATTATATTTCTCTTTCTTTCTAACAGAGACTTGTTTCTGAAAAGGCCTGCAGACGTTCGTGAATTTGCTGCAGGTAAATGGGTTTTTGGCAACTTTGCATCTTTTAATCCAAATCTCCTTGTAAAGAAAGTCTATGATCTGTTAATAAACTTTCTGAAACACTTGAAACTTATTGGTCAATTTCACCTCTAAACAGTTTGTTTTCCCCCAGTAACAAGTGTCAAAAACTCAAACTTATCCGAGCAGCTGAAGTTAGTGCTTTACACTTGCTACTTTTTCATCTACTTTGAGCTTTTTTTACTGCTAATGTATGACTGAAGGATTGCCTTATGTGGTGGGAAATAGCCATGTTATTGGAAGGATAATATATCTCCAGTCAGTTTTCGCAAAATTGACCCCATCAGGATGAGTGATACAAGACCCCTTCACCTTCATTTTCTATAACAACAGGCTGGAGCTACATTATCTGTTATGTGTTTTATTCAGAGAGTATTTGATCTATTTGAATTGTTTTTCAGCATGTAAATCTGTCTGACGTTGAACGAAAAAGTATAAAAGTGATTTCTTCTGACTGAGAAAATAGCACTGCCAAAACATTCTCTCTTTTCAGAAGTTTAAACAAAATTAAGATTTAACCAATTCTTTTTTTTTTTCTTTTTTTGAATGGTGCAGTCCATCTCTTAAGCCAGGCATACAGTACACAGTGTAATGTTTTGTTTTGTTTTATGACACACATTGGATATCTTTTGATGTTTTTATGGTTGTGGTTCTCATCATGTTAGAGCAATTTACAAGCCGAGCCCAGAAACTCAAAAGTTCCCAATCATTTTTAAACATGTCCATTTCATGTTAAAAACATGCCCAGTTTGTAAGTTGTGTGCGGCAATTTTAAGATCTAAAGTTGACCAGTCAGGAGGTGAGGAAAGGAAAGGACAGTTTTTTACTGAATGATTTTTAGATAAACTCAATCATAATGTTAGCATAGACATAAGATCTTCCAATTGTCGCACAGTGTATGCCTGGCTTTAATTAATGATTCACTAAATACAGTTTTTCAAATTAATAATTCAAAAGGATAATATGGGTGAAAAACTGTATATAAGTTTTAATGTAAACAATATATTCAAAAATGTAAAAACATAGTACATTCAAATTATATTCAAATTAAATCCATGATTACAAAAAATAGAATTCACTTTTTAAAACTAGTGTGACATCATTTTTAATCAAAATAAGCACTTACTCTACTCATCTGATGCAGCCAATGTCTTTATGCATGGATTTTTGAATCAATGATCAAATGATTTATTCAAAAACAGATTCATTTAACACCAAAACACTAAATAGTTGCTCTAATATGTGTATGTTTTTTCTCCAGCTTTGTTGTGCCTATATAACATTTAAAATGTAACTTACAGATTAATAATAATCTTATTCATTGAATTGCGTATTGAATCGCATACACACTTGTGTGATGTTGGATGAATGATAATTGTGTGATATTACCTAACTATGCGTTTTTTAATATAAGAAAACTTAAGGAATGTTTTCGGCTTACATCACATGAATTTGTAGCATTGTAACTGCATAGACTTTATCATGCAGCCAATGCTTATGGACACTCAAGATATGCTTTATATTGTTTTTTGAGAAGTGATTGAGCACCATCACAATATTACCATAGACAATTTATCTCACATCATAGTATAATAATAATAATAATAATAAGATAATAATATTAATAATATACCATAGTATAATATTAATAAACTCTTAAATTAAGGTTGCATTTCTTTCTCTATTTTCTCTTTCAGATCATTTCAGAGACCCTGGACTGCCAACAAAAATTCAGGCCCAAATGAATATTAATAAGTGAAATTTTATTTGGTTTTAATTGTATTGTATATCTTTTTAATAAAAGGAAAAAAAAAAAGAAATGATAACACACAATTCCTTCATGTTGTTCTAACACAAATCAAGTTGATTGTTTTTACAAATTTAAGTAAATTGAACATAAAATAATTACCCCACCACCACCACCACCCAAAAAAAGACTTTTTTGATTCAACTTATTTTAAATAAGTAGTTTGAACAAGCATCAGTGATATTTTTTAATAGATCACAATGTTTGTATGATAAGTGCCATGTGCATATATCCACTCATGTTATGCACATACATGTTTATTAATGAGACATCTGAACTTTGTTCTTTTTTCAGAAATATCAAGGCTGACACAAGGCTGATTATTTCATTATTATTACAGATTTATATTATATTACACTCAAAAATATATATTTTTGCTACTTGTTAAAATTATGTATTTAAAATGAACTGAAACAACACAATTCTTGAGTTTTTATGGAACAACTTAAATGTTTCATGTTCAATCCACTTATATTTTCAAAAAATATTAAGTTAAATTAATCGTTTTGTGTTGAGACAACATGAAGCAATAGTGTGGAACCAAGCATCTTTTACAGTGTACATTTATATTATTGATTCCAATATCTGCTCCTGCTCATACATCAAGAATAAGGTCAATATTGTGATGCAATTTTTCGTGTTTCTTATGTATAATTATTATTTTTATTTTTTTTCATTATTATTATTATTATTTGATTGAATTCTTACATGCAGTGGTCCATTCCAGTGGATTTCAATGGTTCTTTATAAATAAATTGAATTGATTCAAGCTCAGCTTAAGCTTAAGCTAGTTCTGGCTTAAACATTTGTATTACTACACAGCCAGTTACATTTTTATTTATTTATTTTTTATTTTTTCAAAGTTTGACTGCCCAAGGGTAAAATGTTGTTCAAGTGACATGTTTATTTTTTGGACTTAACAAGTCACCAGGGGCCTAATACATTACTGTTCATTCACACAGAAACATTGTCCTCTCAGTGTAACATCTGACTTGGGTACAGTATATGTGAAACTCATTAAGCTAAATAATTTCTGTGTAGTATTCAGCAAGTGCTCAAAAACCAGTTAAATATGTAAGTGTTTATTTCAGATAATAATCTTATCTGAAGGCAAGAAAGGTCTGTGGCATAATATGTGAAAAGGCCTACTGAACTCTTTCAATATCAGGACATAAAAATTAAAATTGGTGGGTCTTAAAATTTGGAAAATAAAAACTCATATGAACAAAAATACAACAGATTACACTACCCCTTTGTTCATCCTTAAATCTGAGAGCTTCCTCCATAAACTGCATCTAAACTGAAACTTTTAAGGCATAGAAAAGGAACCAAAAACATTGTCAAAACGTTCCACATGACTTTAGTGGTGCAACTGTAATCATATGAAGCTTCCACATCAATGTGCATTTATTATACAGCACTTATGTGTTTTGTTTATGATTCTAATGGTAACACATGGTATTGTCTGTAGTAAACATGCACCCTGACCTGTCATGGAAGAAGACAAAGGCATACAAAGTCAGTTGTAAAGGGTTTTTTGGCAAACAAAAAATGTTCTTGGAGCTTTGTGGTTACAGTTGAACCACTGAATGGATATGGTATGTTTTGATATTATTATTATTATTTTTGCTGTCTACATTAGACATTTTAGAATTGTTGCTGTCATTGGAGGATGGGGGAGCTCTCAGGTTTCATTTAAATTATCTAAATTTGTGTTTCAAAGATGATAGAAGGTCTCAAGGGATTGGAACAACATGAGGGCGAGTAATTGATAACAGTATTTTCATTTTTAAGTGAAGAGGCAGTCAGGTACTGCTAATCAAATGCCTTTGTTTAACTTATCTTTAGCAAGTGTGAGCTTATTGTAAGTTTGTTGGTCTGTGGCCTTGACAATGAGGGAAAACATCTGCAAAGATCTTAGAGAAGCAACTGTTGCTGCCATGATTTGGAGGGATAAAATGTACATTTCCAAACAATTTGAAGTCCATCATTCAACAGTGAAAAAGTTTATTCATCAGTGGAAGTCATTGAAAACTGACAACAATATTCACAGAGATGGAATCTTGGAAAATTCACCACAAGATCAGGTGATTGCTATGAGTTCACATGACTTCATTTCTGATATTTTCAAATATTTTGTACTATCATTTAAAAATAGGCAGACTAGGGTAAAGTGAAGTCTTGCATGTAATGTTCATGTATAGCACCTGCACAGCCTCCAGTCTGCTGTGGTGGGAGGAGCTGAGAGAAATGAGAGTGGAAATCATCCTGTAGTGATTCTATTGTGCAACTGTTCAGCTTCAGTACACACTCGTCACCTCAGCATCACCGTGAGTACCGCACATTTATAATGTATAGTCTGATTACTAGATTATTGCTTTAGCTTGTTTGTTTTTAATATATAGTCTTAAAAGATAAATATAAATCTTGTGAATTTAAAGAGAAATATGGTATTGTCAGTGCAAGGTTATTGTGAATTATCATAATTAGAACAAATGTAGATATTTCTGTTATAAAGATGGTTTTTATATTTTTAAATTGTAAAAAGTGATCTATATGTTGTCCATTTTCTAAGGCAGTATCATTTAAATTGTTTTAAGTGCATATTTAGAGAAAAGAATAAGTTTATTAGTTAATTTTCTAAACCTAAAATAAAAGAAGTGTCATTTAAAGTATACAATTATGATTGGTCTAAATAATAAAGAATATACAATTTCTTAAGACATCAAAGTTTGAATTCATATTTTACAAAATGCCAATGTTTACAGTTTATAAATCTTTATTTAAAATTTTATTAACCCAGACACAAATATAACGTTTTGTACTTTGTCAAATATGAATGAACCTTATGTTACATGGGTATACTTGTGGCAATAGTCAAAAATACATTGTTTTTGTCAAAATTATAGATTTTCGCCAAGCAACATTAAAATATTAAGTAATAATAATGTTTCATAATTATATATTTAAGAGATTTCTTACTGTATATTGATCAAAACAAAATTTTGGATTAATAACGTGCTTAATTTCTTCAACTTTAGGTTGATTTTCTCTGTTTTTAGATTTTTGTTGACCCCCAGATTCCAGATTTTAATATTTTTTTTCTGCCAAATATTGTCCTATCCAAACAAACTATTCATTGATGTCCTATAGCTTCCAATTGATGCATGGATCTTAAAATTTTAAAAACAAAACACAAACAGACGACACTTATGACTTGTTTTGTTGTCTAGCATCACATATAACTAGTCTAAAAAATGATATCATTTCTGGAGAAAAAGCTCATTTAAAAATATTTAGACAATTTAAATGTATTCTCTTAAGACATTTTTTATTAGAAGAAAAAAAATTTTGCAAAGAAACAAAATTACCAACATTGTAAGGCAAAGATGAAAAAATACAACAACTGAGGTAGGGTGAAATATATCAATATTACTCAAACTAATTTTAAAGCAACATAATGCTGGAGTGACAAAAAAAAGCTTAACCCAATCATCAATAAAGCTACAGAGATTTGCTTTTTCATACAGCAATACAGCAGACCAGACTCAGAAATAAAATCTGTTTTTCTCTTAACTGTATTCCAATGAGACTATTCTCTCACAGACAGTATCCTAGCACTCTTCCCAAATCCTCACAGGTGGATATATTCAGTAAATG